AGAGAGAAAAAAAATATTAGGCTGACTGAATTATGTGTGTTGTTCTTGTCATGATTTTTTACCCCTAACTCTTTCTTTCTCTGCATGCGAGAGGAGAGCAAATAACTCTCTCTGTTACCACAATTAAACAATTATACTAATTCACTTATCAAGCAGCATAATCTGCAATATCCGGGTAAACCATGATTTTAATTCCTGGCACTTAACATACTAGCGTACAGGATGAAAGCAAAGACCCATCTGGAGAACGGCTATGAATTTCTGCTTACCCCCCCCCCCCCAATGAATTGTGAACATTTTAAAGCAAATCAACCATTCATAGATACTTATAATAACCTACTCTATTAGTTCTAACATTAATTTTTGCTATACTTATATGCATTAATAATGAAAATATGTGAATAAACATTTCGGTGAGGCAAATCTAAGTGGTCCAAACATCTTCACACCCATAATTAATATACCTTTTAAATGTAGGATCAGTATCGATCTCAACACGCACATTTATCGATAAATAGATAGAGAGAGAGAAAGAAAGAAAAAAAATAACGCCTACTGTTGTGTACGTGTTTATATATCAGCAAATATCTCGGCTTTGAGCAAAGGCTGGCCATTAGTGTATTGTTTGTACTTAGCCTCTTCCCTTTCTTTAAGCCTTTATACTTATCTGGTATTTTGTTTGTCTCCTAGACGTTGCCATAAACAGTTTCCTACAACAATAAAAGTATTATGAAGGACAGTGATGTATCTTCAAGTATTTCTTCTTCTTTATTGTTATTATTATTGATATTATTACTGCTTCGGTTATTGGTATCTGGTCTAAATGTCAGCCCTGTTATCATTATCATTATTATCATTATCGGTATCATTAACAATGTGATTATCAGTATCTTTATTGCCATTGGTTATGCTCATCATGACCATCAATATCACTGTCATGACGATCGTTTTCAATACTTCATTACTATTGCTACTGTGATGATCACTATCACTGTTATCATCACCATCATCATAAGACTTCCGCCGCCTAGGAAACTATAAGATTCTACACTGCTACTAATCTACTGTTTACATCACTGTTGTTGAATGGTAAAATAGTCTACCGTGTTGATACTATGGACAAACAATGCACAAACTACATTTCTTGAAAATGAAATAACAGTTTCGAAATCTTCTTGGATTTTATCTTCAGAAGGATTTCGAAACTCTTGTCTCATTTTCAATAGATTTTTTTTGTGTAATGTATGTTTTTCTAGCATCACTGGTGTTGTTTAAATAGTATTTATATAGCTACTATTGCTGTTTCGACAATATCATTATCGAAATTTATCATTGCTGCTGACATTATTTTCGTTCTCGATATTGTTCATCTTTAGTTATTGCTGTTCAGTTATTGTCGGATTTAACAATATTTTATATTACATGTTTATCATCCTATGTGTCTTTTCTTCTCTTTCCCTTTAAGCTCCCTTTCTAAATATTTCTTTACATTCATGTCCCCTTCATTAGCAATTTCACACAACGCGTTACCACAGAATAAAACTCAAGTCCGTGTATTTATCCCACGACCATAATATTATTACTTTCTCTTCTGAGGGATTTTGTTAGTCTTCCTTGTTTTTGAAGTCTTCTTTGCCTTTATTTTATCGGTTTACCTTTCCAAATAATGTCCTGAAGTTTGTTTGCTGAAATCAAACAGCATTTTTGGGTCAGATGTTCGTGTTGACGTCATGCGTTCGCGAAACGATTGGTCGGATAGCTCTCGGATTTGCTTCATGACGTCACAGTTCGCTTGCAAGAACGAGCCAAATATATCTGCTTGCGTGACTAGACAACGGCGCTTTCAGGAACGGTGTCTGCTTCGTGTCTGAGGCTGAGGACTATGGCACGCAGGTCGAGGTGATAACAGTTGGTCTTTATTAAGATTTAAGTTTTAATCGTATAGTTCAGGGATGCTATTCGTATCTGTTTAATGAAGTTCTTATATTCTTATAGCTCTTCCATTCTCTCTCTCTCTTCTCTATCTTCTTTCTCTTCTCTCTCTCTCTCTCTCTCTCTCTCTCTCTCTCTCTTTCTCTTTCTCTTTCTCTTCTCTCTTCTCTTTCTCTCTCTCTCTCTCTTCTCTCTCTTCTCTCTCTTCTCTCTCTTCTCTCTCTTCTCTCTCTCTCTCTCTCTCTCTCTCTCTCTCTCTCTCTCTTTTCTCTCTCTTCTCTCTCTTCTCTCTCTTCTCTCTCTCTCTCTCTTCTCTCTTCTCTCTTCTCTCTCTCTCTCTCTCTCTCTCTCTCTCTCTCTCTCTCTCTCTCTCTCTCTCTCTCTCTCTCTCTCTCTCTTCTCTCTCTTCTCTCTCTTCTCTCTCTCTCTCTCTCTCTCTCTCTCTCTCTCTCTCTCTCTCTCTTCTCTCTCTTCTCTCTCTTCTCTCTCTCTCTCTCTCTCTCTCTCTCTCTCTCTTCTCTCTTCTCTCTTCTCTCTCTCTCTCTCTCTCTCTCTCTTCTCTCTCTTCTCTCTCTTCTCTCTCTTCTCTCTCTCTCTCTCTCTCTCTCTCTCTCTCTCTCTCTCTCTCTCTTCTCTCTTCTCTCTCTCTCTCTCTCTCTCTCTCTCTCTCTCTCTCTCATTCTGTGTGTGTGTGTGTTTTATATATAATATGTACATATGTATACACACACACACACACACGCACATATATATATATATATATATATATATATATATATATATATATATATATATATATATATATATAAAACAACAAGCCTTTTTCCGTATTTTTGTCTGCTCTTTATATAGAAAGCAATAACGATGCGTTTAAAGCTGCATTCAATTTGCAAATGATGCGATTGCAAAACTGTTCACTCGTCCTCTGAAGCTGCTATCTACCCGATCTTTCTCCCTTTCAAGAGCAAATTTTGGCAGTATTCACATGAACAAAGCAATAAACGAAAAAATTACAATATAAACAATCGATCTGTGATTCTAATACACCCAGTTTTCCACACACAAAAAATTCATATCAACATTGCAAGAATCTTGAAATTAATATTGCAACAGATTCCGTTTTATCTTCACAGGAAAAGGGATGCTATATATTACCCGCGAACTGCTCTGCTATCTCCACCGTGCGTTAAATATCTCCGTAAAATATCTTATCGATACGTTGAAACTGTCTCGTTTTCCATAAACAAAAGGTATAAATGGTGGTTAATAAATTAGTAGAGAAAAAGATCATAAGTTTGTCTTGTTATAAAAGAGAGAGAGAGAACAAAAGTCTCTTACGAGTTAACGCATCTGTCACACGGGCGAGAACGTAGGGCGAGAACGTAAATATAACTACTTATCACACTTGAGAATGCTTGCAGAATTTCAGCTTAACAAATTCTGTTCTCGTTCTTTTTTTCATTTTCTTTTTATTTAGGCGGGATTTTTTTTGTATTTGTTTTTTTATTGGTTTGTTTTATATTTCTTTCTTTGTTTGATTTTAGTAGGTCTGTCTTTCTCGGGTTGTATTTTCTTTCTTTTCATTTTTTTTTCCATTTTTCTTATTTTTCATAACATATTTTTTTATCGTTTTCTTCGTCTCTTTATTTCTTTATCTTTCATTCTCTTCCTGTTTTCCTTCCATTTCTCTCTTCCTGCCTCCTTTATCTCATCTTCTTTCTCCTTCTTACCTTCTATTTAAGTCCTCTTTATCCCCTTCTTTTTGCATACAATACTATCCCGTCTTTATTAATTATCCACCACTTACCCATTCAAAAGTCACCCCCCTCAACCTCCAAAAGGTTACGATATGCCCGAGTTTATGCCAGGAATGTCAAGCATCGGGGGCAGACTGACATATGCCTACCGTGACAGGCCTATTGGACTTGCATACTGACAGCTTCGCGATTTTTTTTTTTTAGATTTGCAAATTCCCGTAGACGATGTCCATTGCGAAAAAAAGAAAAGAAGAGAGTGAGAGAAGAGAGAGAAGAGAGAGAGAGAGGGAGAGAGAGAGAGAGGGGGAGAGGGAGAGAGAGAGAGAGAGGGGGAGAGAGAGAGAGAGGAGAGAGAGAGAGGGGGAGAGGGAGAGGGAGAGAGAGAGAGAGAGAGAGAGAGAGAGAGAGAGAGAGAGAGAGAGAGAGAGAGAGAAAGAGAGATATTGAAAAGGGCGCTCTATGAAGTAAAAAATAGGATAGGTGTTATGCAGTAAGTGCCGAGATGAAAACAGTTCGCATGCAACATAGTGTGTAAACTAATCAATTGCTATAATAATTTATATACCTTTTTTTAGGGGGGGAGGATACCCTCATTTTAATGGCAGTATCGTAAGTATCACTATTATTAAAATAAACAATATTTCAATATTGTCAATATTCTTACTTAAAAAAAAACTACACTACTATTATCATCAAAATTATATTGATACTTATAATCACCAAAACATTTTGTTTTCTCATTACAGAAATGAACACCAAGACGCAAAAGACATGATTAAGGTCCTGCATGCTTTCACCAACTGATTTGCAACTTTCATCTCTCATCTTTCACATCACCATTAACCCAGTATTATAATATTTTCATATTTTGAGTCTTTTTCCTCCTAACTTTTGTAGAACGCGCGTGTTCACAAGGAAGTTCAACAGGTATTTTTACCGAAGTTAACTTGTCGAAGGGAGAGGTATTTGTTCACCTGAGACACTAACCTTCATTGACACTAGTTATCCCCGTTGGCGAGTGAGGGAGGGAGGGGGGGTGAGGGAGTGGGTGTGATGGGGGAGGGGCAGGAGTCCGAGGGGGGTGGCGGGGGGGGGAGCTTAGAGAGGGGAAAAGAGATCCTGGGAGAGCCTACGCTGGCAAGGCGAGGGTTGGAATATGCAGGTGTGTATATTTGGATCGTCTAAAAGGAGACAACTACCTGACCCTGCCCTATACTCCGGGGTAAAGGCAGAAGGGACCGCCGGCCGACCAATCAGCGGACAGTACCTGCCGACTGGGGACTACCGTTGACCAATCAGCTCGTAGCACCTGGCGGCATCGGGGAGTATATAAGCTGGAGGACAGACGACCCCAATTGTGTCGCACGGTTTTGGTGTCAGAGTAAAGAGTGAACACAAGACTCAAGCATCAAGGTGAGTCCGAGTCAACAGTGAAAAGTGACAACCAACATTTACTCCAAGACACAAAAGTTCGGTGCATAACACAGCAGAGGTCTTTTGCGAGGGCCCCGAAGACGAAAGGCAGATATCACTGTGCCCCAAAGTGCTAGAACTGGGAAACTTAAAGTCTTTGAACGCCTGTGCTTGTGAACGGTGTTAAAACGTACCTCCCCCAAGTTCATGCTAAGAGAACGTTCACTCAGATGTTCTTCAAGCACTGAGTAGCTTTCGGGCCTTGCCAACCCCCAAAGTGACAAAAATTTGTTCAATGTTTTCTCTGTCACCTTGCTTTGGTGTCTCAAAGAGAAAAGAACATATCACTGTTAACTCGGCTGGCCTTACTGTAGAGTAGAATAGAAGGACGGAATATTACAAAAGCAAGGCAACTACTTCACTTGCAATTTTTGCAACTATCACTTCATGGGAGACAAAATTAAATTCCTAAAAGACTATCGAATATCTGATAAAGTTTAACAGATTCACTATCTGACTGCCGACGGGTCCGGGTTATTTTGTGCTTTTGCTTTATCTCTTTATTTCTTAAAATTTCTAAGAGAATCACCACTTGTTGATTCACCGAACATTTTTTTATTTTCTAAATCAAAAATTATCTGTTTGTTCCTTCATCAAGTTCATGAAGACTGGGCTCTTTTACTGTGCTGTTTATTTATCTTTTTTTCCAAAGATTTGCTCAAATTCACCAGAGAAAGAATTACCATTTTCCGTCTTCTGTATAAGTATTACCTTCGCTCTTTTCTCTTCCCAACAGCAAAATGGCTTACTCCTGGGATAACCGCGTCAAGTACATCGTCAGGTACATGTACGGTAAGTAGAGATTTAAAAGAAATAATCATTTCTTACGTTCTTTTGTAACCGTTTTCCTTTTCCCTGACGACCACTTTAAGGATTCAATTTCAATATTTCATGCTAACCCCCAAAAAACTAGCTCCCGTTTACATATCAAGTAAAGTAAATTTCATATTGTCATTACTTAATCCACTAAGTATCTCTATAGAACACAAACACATTATTTCTCCTTATATATAAGTATCTAGATTACACCTTCCCTGCGGCAGTCCCTTCCCGAAATAGATACCTCAATAGGACAATCAACTAAAGAATCAAATACTACTTTCCTCGCAAAACACGATTCCCTTCGACTTGAAACCTTCACACGGAGTATCCAAACCTCTATTCCCGTAATGATAATGATAATAAAGCCACATCTGGCGATATCTTTAGCCTTCGTTCTGTCACGAGTGCAGTGGCAATTGTCTGTTCTGGGAAGAAGGTGGCGCTAAAAGATTGATGATGACAATGACAAATGCTTCTTGACATGCTTTTAACGACCAAAATAATACAGGTGGTTCTCCGTTTTCTGTGCTCACCTGAGAAATTCAGGACTGAGATAGAAGTTCATGTTCATGCTTACATAGTTCAGTGCGCATATATACATATGCATATGTTGTATGTATTTATACATATATATACATATATACATATATGCATATATACACATATATAAATATATATTTGTGTGTAAATATATATATGTATGTATGCATGTATATGTATATAAATAAATTCGTTAATATATGCATACATAATTAAAGTAATATGACGATTACGATTCTCAAAGCATCTTATCCTAATATCATCATAGCGACACTGACATTCTCAATGCCGACCTTCTGTCTTTATTGCCGTTACCATCTGCATCGCCTTCCTCAGCAGTGGTGGCGATGCTACTCCCCTACCCCCCCCCACCCCCACTTCCCTATCCCCTCTCCACATGTCCACATACCTTTTCGACCTCCCGTAAAACAAAAATACTACCCCCGCCCTCCGCTCCCTAACTGAGTGCCGTCCGTTGGGCACAACTAACAGGAACAAAAAAAAAAAAAAAAAAAAAACAGCTGTATCGCTTTCTTTAAAAATAGATCTTATATACCCCACCCCCCCACTTCTCCCCCTCTCTCTCTAGTGTGGTCCGAGGGATGTGGGGGGGAGGGGGGGAGATTAGTTACACTCCTATCCTAAGTAAGATTTTTTTTTCCCTTCAATGAAGCCTTTTTCTCTTTTTGTTATGTCGCTGGAGAATGATTAGCTAATATCAGTGCATAGTGGTTTGTTTTTTTTCTCTTTTTTTTCTTTTCTTTCTTCTTGCCACTCCTTAAATCCTCACGTGTTATTTTTACGCGCGGCTCTGCGAAGTGTGGCGAAGGAGGGGGGGAGGGGGAAGGGGGGAGGTGAGAAGACCAACATCTAGCTACTACGAGAGGACAGTATGTGTTTGTATAAGGTTGCCAAGCCTGTGTTTCAGTGCGCATTCCTTTTCTCTTCTCGCGAACACTTCCGATACATCTCTCCCTCCCCCCCCCCCACTGCCCTCATCCCCAATCCCATCTCCCTCTCTCTCACTCTTCCCTTCTCCCCATTTTCACTATTGTATCTTTCTCTCTCCCTTCTTCTGTCTTCTCCTTTCATATCATCCTTTTCCCCCTTTTCCCAATTTCCCCTTCTTCTCTCTTCCTCTTCCCCTTCTCCTTCTTCTAACTTTCCCTCCTTTCCTCCTCTCCTACTCTCCTTTCCTCATTCCCCCTCTCCTCTCCCTTTTCCCCTTTCCCTCTCTTCCTCTTCCCCTCTTCATTTCCCCCTTCCGCCTCTCCTTCTTCCTACTGTCCTCCTCTCCCTTTCCCCTCCTCCCTCGACCTCTCCCCTCCACCTTTCCCCATTCCCTCTCCTCCTCTCCCTTCCTCTCTTCCTCCTTCTCCTCCCCTCCCCCCCCCCTCCATCTTTTGCAGCCTGTCGCCTCGGTCTTCATTCCGTACCCGATAGTCCTGCCCCCTCCCCCCCTCCCCCCCCACAACGGACTCTCTTCGGGTCGCGTCTCTTTATTGGCATCGCGACCCGATTTCTCTCCTTCTGATTCTGCTCCAATTCTCAGCGCGGGGACTATGCTAGCGAGAGAGTCTTTGTATTATTAGCAAGAGCGAATCTTCTCACAGTTCTTAATTCCAATGAGGATAGAAGACCGGATTTTTTTTTTCTCTTGGAGTTCAGGGAGTATAATGGACCAATGATTTCCTTACTTTTTTATCGAGAATTAGCCGGATCTTCTTCACGGGGCTTTTTATTCATAGTACGCTTGTGTATTTCTTACCAAGATGAAAGCTACTTTGGAAGGATAATATCCAAAATATTAGAAGCGACTTGATATCAGCATCAGTATAACGTATAGAAACGTGTTCTTAAGTCGATAAGTACATCTGTCAGTCAGTTTCTTTACTTTTACTTAAGACCATAAAATTACGCTCCCTTTAGACCACACTCCTTGCCTCGAAGAACACCATCCTCACACCCATACGTCCTTCGCGCCTATTTTTCTAGACGAGCTTCTCATAACGACCCTTTTTCTCTCTCTCTCCCTAGACATTGACAACAATGGCTTCCTTGACAAGAACGACTTCGAGTGCCTCGCCGTCCGTGTCACCCTGATCGAAGGCCGTGGCGAGTTCTCCCCTGAGGGCTATGCCAAGAACAAGGAGATCATGGCTAACCTCTGGAACGAGATCGCTGAGCTCGCTGACTTCAACAAGGTGGGTGATAAGAAACATGCAAAAGTCCAGTCACTTTGGTCAGGGTTTCACCAACAGATATCATCTGACTTTTTTGTTGAATTACCTAGTTTAGCTATGGCAAGTGAATCTTCCTGACTTCCTGTTGTGTCTCTCCCAAGGACGGTGAGGTCACCGTTGACGAGTTCAAGCAGGCTGTCCAGAAGAACTGCAAGGGCAAGGCCTTCGCTGACTTCCCCAACGCCTTCAAGGTCTTCATTGGTAACCAGTTCAAGACCATTGACGTCAACGGTACGTGATTTTCATCTGGACTCCGATTCGAGAATAACCCTTCTGGAAAACTTAGTTTAGCGTCTTATTCCGCTTGAATTGTCAATAATGAAGCATGATCAATGCAACGCACCTCTCCGAAACAACCATTCTTGGATGGAACAACTGCCATTGTTCCTTCCTCGCACTCCCGCTAATAGAACTTTCTCTCTGCCACTCCAGGTGACGGCATGGTTGGCCTCGACGAGTACAGGCTTGACTGCATCACCAGGTCCGCCTTTGCTGATGTCAAGGAGATCGATGAAGCCTACGACAAGCTCTGCACTGTAAGTATCCTTTACCTCTATAAAGCACTTGTCGAAAATTTCATATAGTGAATGTCCTGCCCATTCGAAAAGCGCTGCTTTGCCCCTCAAGTTCTCACGCACGCTTCCCTCTGTTCTTCCAGGAGGAGGACAAGAAGGCCGGTGGCATCAACCTCGCTCGCTACCAGGAGCTCTATGCCCAGTTCATCTCCAACGAGGATGAGAAGAACAACGCCTGCTACCTCTTCGGCCCACTGAAGGAAGTGCAGTAAGTTCCTCTCTGTCTCAGCGCGGAAGGAACGCCCAGAGCGCGAGGCTTCTTTGGCTCGCGGGGACGCCCTCCGAGCTAGTTTAGCCGAGCGTCTCTCTTTTTTACTGCCCTCCTTAAGGACACACTCCAGAGCCCGTTAATACCTCACCTCACCACATCATCTCATCATTTTCATCTCCCTCTGACGCCAAACCGTTCCCGCCGGGATCGACACCTCCGGCGCAGAACGACCGCCGGCCTCGAGGATCTCTCTAGCCCGACCTTCGTGGAGTGGAGAGCCTCACCAGCGCCGCCCCTGGCTCGAGGACGACCCCGCCCTCGGCCAGAGCAACACCGGGACCGGTCGACTGCATTCGCGATCATGTTTCTTTTATTGTTATCCAATAAATGTTGAACTAAAATACTGTAACTGTATGAATTCACATCCTCTCTTACTTTTCTTTCTTA